GAGAGAGAGAGAGAGAGAGAGAGAGAGAGAGAGAGAGAGAGAGAGAGAGAGAGAGAGTATGAGACACAGAGAAACAAAACAGAGAAAGTAAAGACACATGTTACATCTGCTTATGTGACAAACAGACTAAGAACAGGGTAACGTGTGAAAAAAGATGGCCCATTTCAATTTCAAACGAAACTATGATGCAAACTACGACGCAAGTTTTTTCTCAGTTATCGAGTCATAAAGGGGAAGCAATTCCCCCCTCCTTTTTTTTCTCCTTCCCAATTTCAAAGGCCGGATTATTCGTTTTTCGCTTCTTCAAATTGCTTTTTATTTCCTTTTTCCTTTTTCCAATCTCTTTTTGACACGTTACGTGACGCGAACGAGAGAGTTTTTCAAGAATTTTCACCGTGAATCACCGTGACCGGCTCACCTGAACAAACCGTGAGACGTGCTAGGCTGAATCTTTCCATTCCCGTTACTCGACGGCGGGCCAGTAGGGGGTTGGGGCTCGCTGGCCGATCGTTGGACCAACGCCGGGGCTCTACCACTTTTCGACAGGCCGACCGAGGTCGGCCCGCCGCCCATCATCTCGATGCTCGAACTCTCCCTCGACGAGTTGAGCGTCTGTTGGAGCAGCGTCAATATCAACCTTATGTTCTCCCCCATCGAGTGTTCCAGCGAGGACACTTGCCGCGACAGTTGGTCTATTCTCGCGTTTATCTCTTCCACGGGTCGGCCTGGTCCGCTTTGAAAGTCGCCTACAAGTAAAAGGAGAGAGGGGAAAAAAAAAAAGAAAAAAGAGAAAAGAAGATTAATAAAACGTATAAATAAAAATCCGTTTTCTGCGCGCTTGGGGGGGGGGGCGAGAAAAATTTTCTAATCCGACTATTCGGCTCGAGCGTAATGCACATTTCGAAGGAATCCTCCTTCTCCTGCTTTCGGATACGTACACTTTTTTTTCTTACCCCTATCCCGATCTACGTATCGTCGATTTCTCTTTATACGTTTAAATTGTCATACGGTGTCGAGCTCGTCGAAGCATTAGAAGAAGAAAGAGAACACGGTGGGCAAAGGAGATCGAGCGATCGGGGAAGAAGAAGAAATGTGGGGTGGGTGGGGGTGGATGTGGGGGAGGGGCACATAAACGCGATTTCACGCACCGTGAGTCTGGGGATGCTGAGGTGGCGACGGTGTGGTGTAGTGACTGGATGTCGTCGAGGTCGGATGTACCGCGTTCTGGCTGAGGCAGCTTTCACCAGCGGCCGAGCTTCTCCGCGCTGGTTTCGTCAACGGCGTGGTCACTGGATAAACCCAGGCACACAATCAGTACCACGATCCACGGGGGAGTAGCACGAGCACCTTCCTACCCTCTAAAAGTGCCTCTTATCTCCAAGAAGAAGGGGAACGAGGAGGAGAGAGAGAGAGACAGAGAGAGAGAGAGAGAGAGAGAGAGAGAGAGAGAGAAGAGACGAGAGAAGAGATGGAGCGAGAAACGAGAGTAA